GTGCAGTTAAATAACAGAATTCAATCTTAGATGGAACACTTGGATGTTCAGATTTATAATCTTTGTTTCAATCACTAGAATGGAGCATACAATCTGTACCACAAAGTTCATAGTTCAGTGAAAACATTTAATTGCTCAGGTCTATGATAGAAATATCATTTCATATTCTTTAAATATGTGTATTTTGCCCAAGTGAGAAATTCTCTTTTGTTTAGAATATGATGAGGGTATTCTAAATGTAATGTAATTTCATATTCAAAATAAAATACTCATGAAAAATTCGACATATTTTGTAGATGGATGAAGTTGGAATCACTGAATATGTAAAAGGAGATAACCGCAAGTTTGAAATCTGGTATGCTGGGAAGGAAGTTTATATTATCCAGGTTGGTCATTTAAAAGTTATTCTAGAAAGCATAACGTGCATTAAGATACAAAAGTCTGAATTTGCAAACAAATAATTTTGGTCACATTACAAAAGTTCTCATTCTTTTCATGTAGTTCCCTTAAATATTATTTAGTTATTATTTATTGTGATGTAGTTAAACATTTTTTTCAGTAGCACATGTTTAACTTGAGATGTGCCTATGGTGCTTTCTAGGGCTTTTAAGTTTTCACAACTACATTAGGAGATTTATTAACCTTGGCCAGCACTTCTCTGCCCCCAGCAAGTTTCTGTAGTTCCAGATTTATATCGGTTTTGAGTTCCTCTTGTGCTTTGCATTCAGAGAATACCTGATTACGAGGCATGACGATGTGACAATTCAGATTTGATCATTGTTTCTAAAAACTGGTTAAAGCCCTGGCCAGATGTGCTATAAAGTCCAACCTGTTTAAAAGGAGGGGAGAGGAATGAGAACATTTCAAGAGGATTTTGTCATTTCAATGAGTATTTTTATCACAACTTGTGACAGGTGATTGTGCTGTTATCTGTTGAAAGTGCTCAGTGTTTTTTCATGGTTTTAATTCTGCACTAGGTGATTGCAATTCACACACAAAAAATGTTTTCTTGCTTTGATTAAGATATAAGACTTCTTGCTACTTTTTAACAAACTTATAAGTAATGGGAGGATATTTAAGGAAGCTTGCATGCTTTCATCAGTTATCAAGATTACTCTATAATAGATCATAAAATGTAAAACATTTATATTTTTAAAAGAACTCTCCTACAAAGAAAACACAAGTGAGATTATATTTCACATTTTCTGTGAGTGCAATTCAAAATGGTTTTGACTATTTTTTCATCTAATTTGATCACTAGTAACTTACTTGCTTCTTAGAAGTTTTACGAATCAAAATTTTAGTTTGAATATGGTGATTTAGGATTCATGTTCAGGTTCATGTTTGATGTACTTAATTACATTGGTTTTATTATAAAGTGTGCTTTTAAAAAGGAAACATGTTTCCTTCTCCCCCCTTTTTAAAATCTTTAGGCTCCAACTGTAGATGTGAAGATGACATGGTTAAAAGAAATAAGAAGTATTTTGCTGAAGCAACAAGAACTTATGACAAGTAAATTTTAAGCATGTATTCTTCAGAATAAGAAGTACAGTACTAGCTCATTGACTCAAGATTTTCTGATAATTTTTACAGGGAATGGGGCTGATATTTACTTTATACAATTCATAATGCCAGTGTTTGTTAAACTAATTAGTAGGAGATCAAGATTCATGGGGTTGTTTAAACTATTTTGGAGAATGAACTTTATACTAGGGAATGAACTCTAGTGCTTGAAAAGCAGTTGTGAAGTAATATAGGAAACTGTTAATTCTGAGTCCTTCCCATGAGGCAACTGCTTACAATCTCAAGTAGTCAGTGCTTGGTAACGTTGGGGTAGGGGTGGTTTTAGTAATAGATTTGAATTTCTTGAATAAAATATTAAATTGTTCAGTCTTTTTCCTTATTCCAAATTCAGACCGGCTTTCCCCATGGTTGTTTCAAGTCTGTGAAGGTTAGCTCTGGTGAGAGTGGGGTGTGTCTCCAATGTGAAAATCATTGGTCTTCAAGGAAGGAAGAAGTGCGGCTTCTGAATGATGCTTATACAAGCTTTCTTTTATTCCATAGTTAAAGAACAAGAGCGATATAATCAGTTAGCTCAACAGGATCAGAATTCTTCTCAGCGGAATGACGAGTAAGTGATTATACTTTAAGAACTGTCACTCCTGTGATCTTCTGTTTTCCCGATGTAACACAAAACAGTGTAATCAAAGCATCTCAGACAAAAACTATCCACCCTTTTAACAATAACTCATCAAATTCCATAAATACATCATTTTCTCAGTTCTATTCTTCTATTTGGAGACCGATAGTCTTTAATAGTTATACAGTTGTTTACGTTGATGTTAAAATGGAATGGGTAGTTTGTGCTAAACATAATTACAAATGCTTTATTCTCAGTATATCCTAGGGGGAGTTGGCATGTAGGCTAACCGTAAAAGTGGCTGTACTCATGACTTTCTCTTGCATGTATTTTTGGTCATCTTCGGTCTGATTGGAGAAAGAGTTTTAAGAGTGATAAAGGACTGGCAACCTCTACTGGGCCACAGCTTTGTGGTCCCTTGATGGAGACTACTTGCTGGTGACTTGGTCTTTCTTTCTACGTAGTTAGAGAGAAGGTATGGATCCCGGGAGGGAACTGTGCCTGGACACAACCATAAAGTCTTTGAGGAAGGTAGCAGTCTAAAAGAGAGCACTGATGATAGCGCTGGTTTAGAGATGAGGTCCTTGTATCTGGCCTCTAGGAATCCTAAAAAGTGTTGTTGCCATAGAACATTTGCAGATATGAAGAAAGAATCCTCATACTAATTCCAAAGCCTTGGCACCAAAGTTCACTATGCAGCATCTGCATGGGGTCAGGATCATTGAATGACTTCTTAAAAATACTCCTTTTCTCTTTGTTGTACATCATCTCTCAGAGGTAGCTAAAATCAGGTGCGAAGTGTGTTGGTTCATCTGGGGCTTTAGTAGAACCATTTCAAAGTCACAGTGGAAGTCTTTTTATCTTCCAAGGTTCACAATGCTCAAATCTTTGTCATATATTATGGAAATAAAATCCTTAGATTTCATGCAGTAATTGACTTTATAGTAGCGGATACAACTCAACAGTATTATTCATATTAAGGTTTCATCGTCATTTATATATACCTTACTTAATTCATTAAGGTTAAAAGTTCATAGAGCAGCAGGGATAGTATTTGTTGCT